GGGGGATGGGAACAGCGGTGGGGAATTGGGGGAAGGGGAACAGACAAGTTGCTGTCCTTTTGTTCTTCAGTATAGTTGTGGAGAACGTTGCTTCACTGGCCCAAGTTGGCACCATCATTACGCTCTTCCCTGGCGAGGCAGATCAGTCGCCAGCTTCTGGACGGCTGCTCATGGCGGCTGCTGGCTGCTCACGCTGGCTGCTGGCTACACGCCGTACCCCATGGCAACCCACTGCCACAGGGGCTGCAGCCTACGCCGTTGCCGACTCACGGCAGCCCAGCTCCAGGTTGAGCTGTTGTTCAGCATCTTAACTGTAGAGGGCAGTGTCACTGGCCCTCATATGTGGAATCCGAACCAGGGCCCTCTGGCGTCCCAAGCCAGCTCTTAACCAATGTGCCACTCGGCCGGCCCTACCATACTTTCTTGGAGAGTTATGCTATAATACACATAAGGCCAACTATTTACTTAACGGGCCTGAAATTTTATCTTAGTTTGAATACTTATTCTAAAACTAAACACAATTTCCAACAGTCAGCCATTACAGAAATATATTAAAGAAATCACGGCATTTCTTTCTTTCTTTTTTTTTTTTAATATTTTATTGGGGAACTAGGGGAGGGGAACAGCGTTGGGGTATCGGGGAAGGGTAACAGACAAGTTGGTGTCCTTCTGTTCCTCAGTCTAGCCGTGGAGGACATCGCTTTACTGGCCCATGTTGGTATTATCATTGCACTCTTCCCAGGTGAGACAGATCGGTCGCCGGCCACTGGACGGCTGCTCACGGTGGTTCTTGGCAGCTCACACTGGCTGCCAGACGCTCACGGCAGCCCACTAGCCCCACCACAGCCCACGCCATTACCAGTGACTCACGGAAGCCCAGCTTCAGGTCGAGCTGTTATTCACCATCTTAGCTGTGGAGGGCAGTGTCACTGGCTCTAATGTGGGATCCGAACCAGGGCCCTGCTGCTCAGAGCCGGCGTCCCAAGCCAACTCTTAACCAACGCGCCACTCCGCCAGCCCATGGCATTTCTTTAGTTTATGAAGGATGACAAAATGCATGTAATCTTCTTTTAGAACATTTTTCCCATCCTGAAGGTCACAAAATACTGACAACTATTGGGTTGTCGGAAAAGTCATGACGTATTTTTGCAACGAAAAACAGAAAAAATATGTCATGACTTTTCTGACAACCCAAAATTTCAATAAAATGAAAACTTTTTTTCAAGTTAACACTTTATAAGGCAACTAAGATGAGAAAAATGTAAAATGTAATTTAACATGACCTAAGTTATAAAAGCATGCCTAATAATTAAACATTTCCAAGCTATTCTGTTGAGTAGTCAAACCAGAATTTATTTTCACTTTCCCTATTATTGGATATTTAGACTATTTTCCAAATATTTACATAATGCCAAAATATTTTTGTGCTCATAATTTATAATAAAGCAGTCTAATATCTTAAAGTGGTTTTCATTACCTTTGCTTCCTCCACGTAGGGAGAGAAGAGTCGAGGACGAACATATATTCCAGCGTTTTTTTGTCGTAACCAGGCGTTTGACTTTCCACCTTCCGATGTAGGAAGCATATCTGACGGAGGAGTACTAATCAAGCCTCTTTTCATCTTGAAAAAGAAAATCATTTTTACATAAACTAGAGGTTTGTGTAGCATTACAATACTACTAAGATAAAAATAATTATATCTATAAATTAAAATGTTCAAACGTTACCATTTGTATAAAAATTTTGGCATAAATGTGAAATTTAAAAATATTTCAAAACGTTTAATAATATTTAAAGGATTCAGCAATAAAAAAGTAGTACAATTTCCCATTTTTCTCTAAATAGAGGGATGTTTTTTAAAAAATTAAAAAAGTATTAATTAATAAAAAAATGTAATGAACTGGACTTTCAGAAGTCTTAATGAACACCAATTTTTATTTTTTTCCTTACTTGTCTAGGCACTGATTCTACCCCAATTCAACCCCGTTTCCCCAAAGGCAAAACAAGAACTACAGGGCCCGTACCTACAGTACAAGGATACAGGCAGTGTGCACAGTGCCTCGGGGCTGGGACTCTAAAGGGAAGGAGGCCTTGGCCCACACTCCCCATGAAACAGCCTGTAACCATGGACGTCACCTTTGACCTGGGCCTCACTTGAAGGGCTCCTAGATGGCCCTGGAGATGAGACACTGCACAACTAACTAAATGTGGTGGCCCTGTTGTTTCTGCATCTCTGCTAAGAGAATATAAATCAAACCTACAGCTTATAAGGCGGTTGTGAAGATTGAATGAAGATAATGCAGATAAAAGCACTTGGCACAGTACTTAGCACATAAAGAGAGCTTAATCATTAAGAGCCATTATTAGCAAACTTTAACTGGGGACTGATTATGTGTTAGGCATGAAATTAAGAGCAATGATAGGCATTTTATAAATCTACTAAACCAAAGTTCTAAAGTATTTTTCTAAACCAAATTCAGGGTTCAACTTGGTTTGAGTCCCAGATATTAAACAAAACCAAACATTGTTTCTCCAATATTATTCTTGTTAAATATAAATAATTGCCTGATTGCTACATTAGTTAAAATTATTTTTAACTAATAAAAGACAGCATTAGGTAGTATTTACAAAAAAAACAACAACTTATAACTCTAATCTATTACAACTAATAATGTTGATAAATTTTCTTCCTTTTTTCAAATGAATTTTAATATAACTGCATTCTAGAATACATAAAAATATGTATTTTGTATTCTTCTTTCTAAAATTATACTCCATTATTAGCATTTTCCATATTGCTATATTACTTGTTATAACCATTGTTCAGGGGAGCAAAATATTCTGTTGAGGATTGTACTATAATTTACGTTATTTTCCGTTCTTAGATATTTAGGCTATTTCCAAATATTTAATAACAACACTACCAATGTAGCAGTTATACATCCCCTACGGGACAGTAATACCATTTCAAAAATTACTAACTTAATCGGTAAAAAATGATAATTTACTGTTTTATTTTGCTTTCTTTAGTGTATGTGATTACTAGTGAGACTGAACATTTTTCTCATCAGAGATTCCATAAATATTTAACTGTTTTCTTCTAGTTTTTCCATGTTTCAATTTAATATTTTATTCTTCAGTCTAACAGGGACTAATTTTGTGTGCAAGTGAAATGAAGGTTTAACTTGAAACAAATTTCCTCCCTTCCCCACTCATCAATCAGTCAGCAGAGCACCATACTGAGATTTGTGACAGCTCATTCATTATGTTTAATTCTTGTATTAATTAGGATCTTTTTCTGGGCTATTTTGTCTTGCTTGTTATGCTAGCATCACAGATTAAATATTAGAGTTTTAAAATATGTTTTACATTCTGGAAGAGTTATCCCTCCTTAACTATGTTGTTTTTAGAGAACTTAAAAAGATTCTTATCAGTTCTTTCCCCTGATGACTTTTATAATGTTTCTGTGCAGTTGAAAACAACTATTATGTTTACAGCATTACATTAAAGTTATAAGTCAATGCATGAGGAATATTTATAGTATTCATTTTTCCCATCTATTAATATGAGCAACTCTATTAATTTAAAAAAACTCACTTAAAAAATTATAAAAACAATATGATCAGCTCCATTAGTTTTTAACTGAAATACAATTCTAAGATCCATTCATCCTTTTTACAGTGAAACTTTCTCCTTTTATCCTGCTTTCTGATTTATTGCTGTTCTTGAAGAGTCTCCAAAGGTAATTTCTACCCTTTCTTTTTCTAATAAGAATATACTGAATCTATAATAATAAATGGCTGAATTAACGCCTTAGAAACTATCCTGCAAAAGTAAGACTGATATACTCACTCATCTCTCATCCACTGTGCCATGTGCCAGATACTGGGGATACAATACAGTATAAAACAAACATTTGTCTTTGACCTCATGGAATTTACAATTTCCCAATACTTTATTATTAGTAGAAATTATTTATAATGATAGAAAAAGGTAAGTCTATACATTTTAGAGTATTTTCTTTTCATGAAAAGGATAAATGAAAAACACTTACTACATCACTTAGGATTTCACTGTTTATAGGTAAGATGTGCTCAATTCGCACAAAAGGTAGGAGAGGAGAAAGGATCTCTCTAAGCTCTTCAATGTCCAGGTCTCGTCTTTTCACACCTCTTTTGTTCACACTGTGTGCAGTGCCACTCAGTAAGTTTGGCTCTACGAGACAGAAAATGAAAAGTCTCCAACCAAAACCAAATTTTCACAGAAAGGCTTTCTTTCTTCTCTAGTATACTTTCAGTAGCATTCTTCATACTTAGGCACATCTGCTTTAAAAACAGTTATAAATTTTATGTCTTAAGAAGTTTACTTAATAGAGACGTTCCTGGACAGAGAAAAAAGCAAGGTGTCAACAGTATAATAACATTCTCTTATGACTGTTCTGCACTAAAGACTAAAGGATTCTTTTCCATATACTAACTCAAAGGAAAAAGGATGACAATCTATTAAAATCTCATTTGACCAAGGGCTTTTTCTTAAGCTTTCTCACTTTTGTGACCAGTTTTTAGTATAACAGGGACACTGCAGGGCAAATGCTATTTCTGGTCACTGTAGGTGATCAGTATGCTTATTAGGCGACCATTTAACAGCAATTTAACAAGACATTCTTCACCCAGTATCTAAGGCAGCAAAATAAAGTATACTCTATTTAACTTGAAGATTTTTATGGTAGTCTGCTAAATTTCCATAATATGGGAATGTTACTAGATATAAGTGAACCCTTTGATCGGCATATATTTCCATCATCCACAGCTGAGAATAAAGGGTTTCTTTATTGTATATTAGTGAAAGGGGAAGATCTGAAGTATGTATATGCTTACGATATGGCAGTGGGAAAAATTTACATAAATTTTGGGAACCTTTAAGCATGTCTTTAATGTAGGGGGCTGTATTTTTTTTTGCTTAAAATATAAGATCTTTTATCATTCACAAACATAAATGCTAGATATTTTGCAGCTTAGAGACAAACTGGCAGTCTACAGCCAAACTAGTATTTCTTAAATCCTGTGATACATAGATAGGTAAAGAGATTGTTTTTGAGAAGCTAAGCTTTTTCTGGAGTCATTTGAAATAAAACTGTTGAAAGTACGTGGAAAAAGACTGTTTTCCTTGCCTTGCTATCATTTGGCTTCATGCCTATATAAGGTATTGCTTTCCAAAATTTGTTTTTCTTAAAGTAGTGGTGTCCTGTTTTCAAATGAAATCTTACATAAAACTCCCAAATGTGTAACAGGTGAACCTTTATATATGAAGGTGACAAACAAATGTGTGGCCTGGTTCGTTTGGCTTCTTTGTCATCCACATGAAGAGCATTCCATTCTAACTGAGTCTGAAAACTACTGTTTTAAGGGAAATTTCATCAAGGAATCTCATTATCTGCCCAAAATAAATATGACATTACCAGCCTTACATCAATGAACAAACCTATATACTGTGATGATCATGTAGCAATATATGCACTCAATTCTTGTTATTTGGGGCTAGTTACGTTCTATAAAGTCACCAAGAATAATTAATTAGCAAATACTGAATCACTACCAAGGGAAACACAGGGTTAGGGTCCAGTGAGTCTGTGGTCACATTTTTGTCAACCATTAAAGACATAACTTTGTTTTATGTGTGTTTTTGTTTAAACACACCTTATCAATATATATAATTTATGTGTATTTCTGTTTAAACACTGAACTCAAGGCCAATGGCTCTGTAACTCACACTGGAATGAAGCTTATCTAACACACACATTGACTCTGTTAGGCACGCCACAGCCTTTTTGTGCTTTGGAACACTAGACGGCACTAAGCACGACACTTGGGGGCCATTTTAAACAGTGAGATTAACCTAAAAGTCCCTAAGAATGTGAAAACCGCTGTGAAAGGACATTAGTTTACAATGTGAGAGCAGAAACCAGAAGGCAGGGTGTTACCTTGTTTCACCTCCAGCTGGGAACATGTGCACCAGGGAACTCATTTTTTTTTTTACTCTGCGCATGAATTCAAATGCCCATGAAAGTGCCATGAGTACTAATTTTGGGGGTTACAAGTAAATTTTAGCAAGTGAACTTGCAAATAGACAGCCTGTGAGTAAGGGGGACAGACTGTATACTGGCATTTCCAAAGTATCCCAAATTAATAGTAGTAGTTATTATATTAAAAAAAAATCAAATCTGAGAATTGCTAAAGACTTTTGTAGGTCACAGAGAAATAAATTGCAAGAAATGAAATAGGAGGACTGCTTTTGTTCCCTAGTGCTTGGGCAGTAGTGTATCCAAGGGACACTGTAAAAGGTTTGAAGGCAGTTGAGCTTGATATTTTTATATATTTAAAAATGTGGCAGAGCAACTCTATAAATGTACTAAAAACTATTGACGTCAACACTTTAAACAGGCGAACTTTGTGGTATGTACACTGTATCTAAATAAAGCTGTTGACAGGGATGGAAAATCCGTATTTAATTTTTCTAATTAAAATTTTTTGATTTGGGTTCATTATATAGAGGAACACAATATTCTATGTGGCAAGGAGTACGGGGCGGGGGGGGGGCTAACCCTAGATATAAATAAAAGATTGTTATAGAAGCATAAGCCTCCAAAGTTGAAAGCTCACCTCCACAGGATGCTTTCATTTTTTTCTAACGTATCCCCAGTTGGAGGCCATTCAAAAGCATTATTTCTCCTTTACCTTTCACAAAATTTAATAATAAACAGCAAATATGCCTTTTTGGGGGTAGCTATATATTATTTTATTTATGTAACATAAAACTCACTATTTTAACCATTTTCAAGTGTATACGTCAGTGGCTTTTAATACATTTACAATGTTGTGCCTCCGTCACCACAATCTAATTCCAGAACATTTACATAAAAAATATGCACTGTAACACTTATAATTATTAAATGAAAAGTTACATTATACTACTTCTGTATTCAGTCAACATAAAATATATTAAGCACATAGATAGCTAACATTAAAACTAAACTGCGTTTTCAAGTTACAAAATGTAATTTTTGGGGTACATTTATTTCTAACAAAGTATGCCCTCTCTACTAAAGGATTATGCAGACCGTAAAGAGTTTTATTTCCACCAGGCAATAGTAGCTACTGTCAAGGCTGACATATAGCACGCACGTCAGTAAGCTTTTAGGGAAAACTTACAATGCAAGCTAATTTTCTGAGCTTACCTCTGTCTGCTATTCTTTTCATCAGCTGATGCTCACCCCATTTAATCAGATATTTAAGAATATCTTGTTCACTTGCCTATAACAAAAAATGGTTTATATTTATTTTGGTGAAATTAGGTAAATAGTTGATTTCATTAATGATTTTTCCTAAGTCATAATGTAAATACAGTGTATAACTTACCACATTTCACTCTTCACACTGGCTGTTTGAAATGTTTGCATTATACGTGTGGTCCATCAAGAGTGAATACACAAGACTGCATCACGTGGGTTTTGTCCAGTAGCCTCACTCTTACCTCCAACTAAATATTTTATTCTTATTTCCGGCTTTATTTTTTTTTATCCTGTTCTCATCATCTTTTAAAAATTTATTTTATCTCACTATTTGGTCTCTTTACAGCTGCCTTAAATTCTTTTGGTACAGTACAAGATGGAGGTAAATAAAGAAAAGTACAAGTTTACTGATACAGAGTGTCTATTATCTCCTGCAGAAACAGAAAAAATAAGTGTGGCAACTTGTTTGGGCAGAAAAGACTACACCCTCCACAAGGTATGCTACTACTGGCTGGTGAAGGACCCTTTAAGCACAATCTATAAAATGGCAGTGTGTCCCTCACTTCTTGGTATTTAATTTAAAGTCTCAGAGCAAATCTAGGCTGCTCTCCAAGGTTTTTACTTTCTAAGAAGAAACACTAAGCTTCTAAAGACAATAATCTGAGAGGACTGACAAATCCTGACTCTCATCATGCACGCAGTCCGGATCAGAACAGTGAAACAAGGTTAATAAACACAGATCCTACATAAATCACATCCAACATTTGCTCAAATAAATCAAATAACAGCATTTGTACTACAATCAAAGCAATGTACCAAAAAAAAAAAGCACAGATGCTAAGTGGATTATTTAACTCTTCGCTGCATTTCTGATTGAGATGGAAGCACTTTGTAATTTTTCTAGTACAAACATAAAGAAACAGGAAATGGCTCAATGGGTTATGTCTTCATAACATTAAAACTACTGTACAATTTTCAGCATAAAATTAATAACACCAATGCAAAAGAAAATTAAGCTTGAAAATACTTTACCTGAAAAATTTTTTTGCAATATTTTAAATTTATTGTTTGTTTTAATTACCAAATTAGATGGATATATAAGTCAAGGACACAGAACTTGCTAAAAACGACTTCTAATTAAAAATAAGTCTTTGAAAACATTATACTTCGGCAGAACACATACACTGAGTTTCTGTGAGCATCTGAGTAGATCAGAAATTCTTCTTACTTTGTGCTGCTTAAGCTACTGTCTATGTTCTAAGTATCTACTACTCCACCAAAAATAAGAAAGCTGGTATAGCAAATCTACTATTAATGGAAGCCAAGAACACTACTGTTGGGATGTGCTTCTGATCCTGCCTCCCTGCCTCAACCCCTCCAGTGTGGTTGGTTAGGACCTGGGATGGTTCACAATGTTGAATGATACCAGCAGAGGGCATGAAGAACCAGAGAGCTAGATGGCTTTGCTGTGCAAATGTGAAGAGGACATTCCCAGGTAGGTTATCTCCCTCCATGGGAGAGTAATAGAGTATAGATGGGTTTCTTGGTGCACATATGAATGACAATGAATTTGAGAGGTGTAGAAATGATTACCTGTAGGTAGTCAGACTGGATAGCAGTAAGCAGATGGTCTTTGCTGAGTTCATAAAAAACATCCGAAGTCATGACCTGGGAAAATTCCTCACAGAGGAAATGTAAAGCTTGTCGGTGCACCCACTTAGAGCCATATGGATGAGAGCTCCACTTGAGGATGGCAATTAAGGTATCTAATGAGATGCTCTCAGCAATGATATCCTCACAGCCTAAAAGAGAAGGCAAATACTTCTTGAGATTAATCACAAATATTACTTATTGAACATCAGTGTGTTAGACACTATACTTAAAAGTAGCAATAGTAAAAAAGAACAAGGAGATAAATAAACTCTCATGGAGATCACCAAGACTTGGTGGGATGGGGTAATAGTAGGTAACAACAGACCATGACATCGCTAGGAAATCTGCTGTTCCACACGGATCCATAGAAAAGGGCAGGGGATCCTTACAATTAGTTAAGAAAATAAATACCTATAAGCAAATCCAACAATGTGAGTGAGACACTACAGTGGAGGACAGTGGACCAAAGAGGAAAGAAGACTAGGTAGAAATGATACAGTTGTAGGAATGGGCCAGTCAGAGGAAGGATACGAAGGACATTTGGCTGGTAAGAGAATTCATACTTGAAAAGAAGACGGGTGGGCTATTTTCTATGAAGTATGAGGACATTTTTTTGGGTATCATTCTAATAAAAAAGTAACTTGCACTTTGATATTTTAATCCTTCAGGATACAGACAAAATATGGTAGTTTTATGCTCATCTGGAATTAATTCTGGTGAATTAAAAAGAAATAAGTAGTTTAAGTGAAAAGGACCAGGATCCTGGAGAAAGTAACTCTGGCACCTTAAGAACTCAAAGAAAGAAGAAAATCTGAGGTCAGTTATTTTCCTTAGGAAAGATCATTTCAAAATATAAAGATATCAATAAAATCTGAATGACAAAAGATTGTGGAAGGGAAAATGGCTCGAGTTGGACAGAAAGTCTTCACAACTAAGTTTACTAAAAAATAAAAAAGGACCCTAATAACATGGGGGCGGGGAGGAGGAGAGGTTTATACCACCACCACCATTACCACCACAAACGTGACCAAACAGGCTACTCTCTAATGAGCTCAGAGCTTTAGAAGACACAGCCCCCTAAAAGTACATCAGTGAACACCAGAGACTTCCAAAGCTTGAAGTTATTCTGAAACTATGAAAGGTGATGAATCCCACTTTCAGGTGATACAAGATTATTAGTAGTCAATATAAAGTCTGCAAAAAATAATGCTTCATTCCTTTTGCTATGGTGCCAGGTAAGGAGAGTATCACAGAGAATTGTGTAACCAGATTTTTGCAAAGCATTTAACAAAATACTTCAAGATGTCTCTCGATTATTAGCTCCACAAGACAGGGACTGCTGTCTTCACTGTTAGCTATAGCACCTTCTTGCACATGGTAGGTGCTAAATAAAAACGCGTTTGAATGTACAAATAAGATCTTTGCAGATGAGATGTAGACGGATGAAAGAACAATGGTTAACAGAACCATTTGTAAGTAGCATAGATCAACTTGGGGCGATGGACTGAGGAGCGTTTTTGTGATGTTTATCAAGAACTTGAATGAAAATGTAGAAAATATGCTTCAAAATCTTCAGATCACCTAAAACTGGGAAACAGTTAACAACACACTGGATAACATAATCATAATTGGCTTAAATGAAGGGTCAAAATGAAGATGAAATATAACTAGGAAAATTAGGAAGTTCTATATTTAAAGAAAAAACCTGCAATAGTAGCTGACAGGGGAGAGCTAGCTTAACCTGTGTAAAAATAATATCTGGGTATTTCAATGAATGCAAAATGTAAAAGGGTTGCAATAAAGCTGAAGCAACCTCAGGCTTTGCAGATACAGAGTCCTAATCAAAGGAATAATGTTGCACTGTTTTCCTGTGGGTGCTGTGTTCTGTTGTGGGCCCTGGGTTTTGGCTGGGGCACTGGCAAAACTCCAGGATTCTCAGAGGAGGGCAAAAGAAAAGTAGAGAGTTTGAGACTTGTCGTAGGAGAAAAGCTCTGAGCAAGGAGGATTATTTGGCTTACGTAAGAGAACCTCAGGAGAGACATCACTCTCTTTAAATGTCTGATGGACTTTCACAAGACAAAGGAGAAATGGCTGTTGTTCCAAGAGCAGGTCCTGGGAAACAAGTGGTTGTTAAAAGGGGGATTTTGACTCAATATTAAGAAATATTTCTAATTTGAATTTCAAATTGCTAACAATTAGAATTGCTCT